TGATGTGACCCGAGCTGCTTACGGTTTTGATCGAGACGGGGGGCTTTTCTGTACGGACAGACGTGTTCGGGCTTCCGGGTACGTCGACGGGAGTTCGTCGATGGAGTGAGCGCGGCTCTCTGCGGTTTTGGGGGGATTGATGGGGTTTTGACGTCGGTGGCTCGTTATCGTTATCGTTTCGTTGGCTCGCCGGCGTTTCGAACCTGCTCGGGGTGCTCATAGGTGACTCTCGGGGTGTACACGCTCGCGGGAAAGACAATGCACGTTTTTTTATGTGGATTGCAACGGAAGGAAAAACAATAACACACGCCCCTAACCCAGTAGCAAAGGCGCGTCGAGCCACACAGGGAGGCTCTATGCCACCCGGCAACTGCGGACAAACACTACTGGGTTGGGAGGGGGCATCGGCCGGCGCCCCATCGGATCTGGCCCCTCCATATATGGACAGGTGGGCGTCCAGGCAGTCGGCCGTCTAGCCGCCGGGGTAGCCTCGGAGGTGCCGGTCATTGTCGCCTCCGGAGCGCCATAACGCGTCGACCTCCAATACCACCAACCATGGCCCGCCATCTGGTCATCATCGTGAAGACCGCATGCCCACAGAAAGAGCTCGCACCAACCATCCAATGGCGCCCGAGCTCGCCAAAGGAAGCCAACCGGCCAGGCCGCCACTGGCGATAGCCACCACCATCACACTGGCACCCCACCGCCCAACAACCCATGTAGAGACAGCCACCAGCGCCCCTAGTCGCCATTGGCACGCGCCGCCAGTAGCAGAGCAACCGCTGCTGCCACCTACAACCCGCCACCTCGCCAGCATGCTCTACACCCAGCCTATCGCACCATCACCATGCCACCCCGTCCGCAACGCCACCTCACACTTTGTCAGTGAGGCACCCCGATCCAGATGCGCCAGCCCATGCCAAGGCCGTTGGGAGGGGGACAAGGAGGCCTTGCCGGCGCTAGCGGCGGTGTGGGAGGAGGAGGGTGCGAAGTAGGGAGCTAGCGTCCACACCCTAGGGTTCCTCCCCATCGCCTCATGGAGGCGACGTGGGAGGGTGGGTGTGGGATTTTTTCCAACCTTATTTCATTTGGTTATTGATATTGTGGCCAAAGGATTGTAGTGTCGACTGACTACATTGAACCATGTGAAGGGAGGGAGGAATTGTACAAGATCTCACATTAGGTGAGATCGTGAGATAAATCTCAATAATTCATATTTATACATTTCAAAAAATTCTTAAATTATTTGAAAACATTCCTGCGGGGTATGTCTACAACTCCGAAAAAAATCAGCTCAAAAATCAATGTACATTTAGAGATTCAAAAAAGACACATTCGAATGTGAATAGTGATACGTTTGGGTGAATAGTACTCTCACACTATTCACATCAGATTTTATCTTTTTTGTTTCTATTAATGTTGGTCAAATTAGGGGCTGAAGCTTTTTGAGGTTGTACATCAAATATTGATGTGTGTCTACAAATTTTTTGAGAATGTTTGAACTGTTATTTTTTTCAAAAAAAAACTAATCTCATTGATCTCATATGCCTCCCCGGCTCCCCCATGTAAAGGGTGCGTATTTAGGAACCTCCAAAGCAATCATCGATGAAGTAAAAAAGGAAGATGGAAGGGTTCCCGTCAGCTGAAGTTGTTCATGAAAGGGAGTAATGAACATCGAGGCTCACTTAGCAAAGGCAGGCCACCAGCTCATGAGCGGCACTTACAGCTCACAAAGTGCTTGTTTAGTTTTTTAGCTCACAAAGCACTTACAGCTCACAAAGCTCAGATGATTTTCTCTCTCTAAAACAGGCAGGATGACCCATTCGAGTTTGCACGGCTAGAACGTTATATGTATTTACTTATTATGAATCATGGGGCTCTTGTATGCATTTGATTCCATGTTTACTTTTCATGCACAACTTTTATTATAAAAATTGGTGGGATCTTTTGTTTACACCAGATGAATCAAGAATATTCTGGACAAGCATATCAAATAATCAAACCGTCTGTGTGAAAACAATGGTATTTATGTTCCCAAGTGATTATTACAATCGATGTTATTTCAATACCAAGTGCATACCATGCACATGTTGCCAACTCATTGTTTGACCCAATTTGCAAGACACATTTTTCTAACTATTCAATTTATGCTATAGAAGTTTATATTAATTCACTTACCTAATATAATGGTATAATAGAAATAGACGTAGGTTGCAGGCTTCAGAAATCTCAACCATGGTATAAAACAATACAATACACACACATACACAAATATAACATCAAAACATAATTAAAGAGAAATTTTGATATAATCTAACTTTAAATTTGGCGGAATCAAGTTTTCCAGTGATATAAAATACAATTGTATGTTTGAAAACACTAAAAGTATTTTTTAGCAATACTGTTTTGCGATTAACCATACTAGCTAAATAAAAATAATTATAGTCATGAATAATGTATATGATAAATAAGTTTAGAAATATGAATGTTTAGTATAATTTTTTTACTATGTAAGGGCAAAGATGGTGCAAACACAATAATAGCTCTGATGATCATGTTTGTTTCCGTGGAAGCATAAGATCAAGAATCATAAGAATTAAAGTTGACACTAGCAGAGATAAGTAAAACGTGAGCAGCGAGATAAAAAGTGTGGGCAAAGATTGGTACACCGCTGCATCGGTAGGGAAAAAATGTGAGAAGCAAAACTAAGAGGCAAGGAGAGTGACATAGAAATGATGACAAAGGTTTGACCATTGAATCCAAGTTAGGCACATAATCAGGCGCGCTGGATTTGATAGAGCCATATTATTTCTTAGTTGTAAACTTAAAATGCTGGATTTTTCGTAAAAAGAAAAAGAGTCTAAAACGAAAAACATTTTTGGTCCTACCTGTCTGGGCTCTCCAGTTTGCGCCCACCGCAGGGCGAGCACCATGTCCATGACCAACACCACAATATGCTTACAATCATCATGGCATCGATAATGCCATACACGTGGACATGTTTGGGTATTGAAATATTGAGGCCCGTCTCAGGTAGCCCACACAGGCCCATGCATGTTTTCTTTTCAATCGGGTGACGCGAAGTCTGAGGGCTTGGAGGTTAGATTGGATAGTTTATGTCAACCGTGATGGTGCTCGGAGGATGGAAATATTTTTTGGCATGGTAGGTGAGAATCATTATGCACCCGAAAAGACTATATAGCGCCGTATATAGAGGATAAATTGCGCACACACGCTGCACTTCGGCCAGGACAAGTAGCACATTTTGTTTCTCTTTTTTAAATTTCTTTCTTTTCCTTTTTTATTTATTTATTTTTTTGTTTCTCCTTGTTCTCCTTAAGTAAAATAGACGATTGTTTTTTGTGCTTTTTGAATATGTGAACATTTTTTTAAAACACATGAACATTTATTTGAGATACATGAACACACACATATGTTTTTAAATGAAAATAAAAATAGTTTAAAAAATAGTTGAATGTTAATTTTCATATGGATGAACATTTTTCTGAACACATGCACACTTTTTCTCACATCCATATTTTTTCTTTAAAACATGCGAACCAATTAGATGTTTTTTTTACATATGTGTGGACATGTTTTCCAACACAATGCATATTTTTCCACTTTACCTTTTTAAAATGTATATCTAAAACAAGTGAAATAAACCTATTTAAAAATTACATTTTCTTCAAAGTGTTCCTCTCTTTGTTGGGCAGCACCTGAACAAGCCCATTAATATGTCTTGGCGAATTGTCCCAATCACCCAGGCAGTAAGGGAGCCCCATGCTATATCTATTTGTTTGTCGCAAACTGACACAGTGATTTGAAAGTTTAAAGTTTGGGATCTTAGGTATGTTTGGAATACAGGAAATTCGGGTCGAGTTAGGTCCGCCTAAGTGCCATTTTGGTTCTACACAATCAAAAAGGGAGAATCCTTTTGGCTTCTGGTTGATTGTACTCTTTTAGGTTCACTGACTTCACAAATTTGCTCAAACGGGCTGGGCCAAACAGGCCAGCCCGCTAGCACGCCGGCATGGCCCGCCATGGGCCAGGCACGACACGGGCTAAACGGGTCATGCCGGGCATGCAACACGCCTTGGGCCGTGCCTGGGCCTGGAGCTTGGGCACGCGGGCCGGCACGGCATGACCCGTTTAATTTTTTATATATTTTCTAGATTATATATATATATATATATATATATATATCTAAAATATAGCCCAATAGGCCTAAAAACCAGCCCAACAGGCTGAAAATGTGTAGCCCAGCGTGCTAAACGGGCCATCGGGCCGGCCCGTTTACTAATCAGGCCGTGCCTGGGTCAAGAAGCAGCGCCTGTGGGCCGGCACGGCACGGCACGGCTATTAAACGTGCCGTGCCGTGCCGGGCCGGCCCGTTTGGCCAGGTCTGGACAAGTCCTCCATTACTCAAAAAAAACACACGACAATTCCTCCTTAGCCCATCCATAGCCGTTCCCCTCTCACCGCCGCACGTCCGCCCCGGCCGACGGGGACGCCACCGCTCGGGTACGGCGTGCGTGCTCCGTTTACGCGTCGAGCCCTCGCCGCGGAGCTAAGCGACGGTTTCGCCCACGGGCACGAGGCCGCGCCCAAGCGCGCGTGGCCGGGGCTGCCGCGGCTCCGGCGGCCGACGCCGGCAACGCGCGCGAACGGCTCTGTGGTGGAAATGCAGAAGGATGCGCGTGGGAATCGTAAGTTCTCGAGCTCAAGCTTCCGAGTCCGAGCAGTCTATCCTCATTTGTTACATTATGCTCCTGCTGTAGCCAAATCCCCCGCTATAATGTTCTTGGTCGACTCAATTCTGCGGAAAAACGTTGAGGGCTAGCTAACTAGAGCATTTAAACATTTACCATTTTACCTTCTTTAGAATATTTGATTGATGACATGCGTGGCGGTATATGCTGGTAATACTAGCTTACATTTTTATACACATCCAGTTCGAGAAACTACATTACACCCTAGATCGAGGCCTACGACATCTACTAATATCTTGCTCTGTTTGCATAGCAGAGGAGAACTGGGAATGACGCGCATAAAGTCCTGGCAAACAATGAAGACTTCAGCCATATCTTAGTACAGGAGGGAAGAAAAGCACAATGTTCATAAGAACCAGATTTTCAGCACCGCGTCTGTTAAGAACTTAAGATCTCCATCACCGCCTTCTTCGAAGGGGAACCACATTTTCAGTGTGATCATCATATGCTAACCTTGCAATAAGGAAGCATGCAAGCAAAACAAGAGCAATGAGCCCCCCCGCGGTGATTCCAATAACTAATGCAGGACGCAAGTTGTTCCATCGCTTCCCAGAGGCTGGAGATGGTCTTGAGTTGCAGTCATTGTTGATCATAGGCCCGCATAGCTTTGGATTCCCACTGTAGCTGGAATTTGAAAAAGAATCAAACTGTCCTCCACTTGGAACTTCCCCTTCTAGCTTGTTGTTAGAAACATCAAATCTGGAAAGGAAGTGCAGGTCACTCAGTGCAGATGGTATTTCACCTGTGAGCTGGTTGTTCGACAGATCAAGAATTTGCAGGTTTGTGAGGTTGCAGATTTCTTGTGGTATTTCACCAGTTAAGCTATTGGAGCTTAAATTCAGGATGTCGAGCATTTTTAGCTCACCAATCTCAGGGGGAATTACACCAGTGAAATTATTGTTGTCCAGACACAATTTGCCGGGAAAAGCACCGACTGTCCGGTATTGACGTGATGGCGTCCAAAATACAGGCAACTCAAGGAACCTTGTGTCCAACTTGGCAGCATTTCTCTCTGATAGTAACATCGGCATCTTTGCCAATGCAGCTGGTATATCCCCTGTAAGTTTGTTGCTTGATATATCTAGAACGAACAGGTAGCCCAGTCCATCAATCCAGGATGGTATTTGTCCAGTGAGCTGATTTAATGATAAATCTAGCATCAGCAATTTTGCAAGCTTTGATATCCAAAGAGGTATTTGCCCGGTCAATGGGCAATCATCTATGGTCAATACCTGAAGGCTCTCAAAACCATAAAATGTTTCATCTTGTGGTATGGTTTCACCCTTGAAATTGGTTCCCATCATCAGGGATGTGAGATTCTTGCAGCCCTTGAGCATCTGAAGTGCATTTGTGATATTTATAAAAGAGTTGCCGGTAATTGAAAAGAAGGATAGGGACCTGAGATTTCCAATGGTTGGTGAGAACTGCCCATGAAATTGATTGAAAGCCAGGCGTAACGCAACTAGGTTGGTGCATGAGTAGATACTTTCAGGAATTGTACCGGTGAAGTTGTTCACTGAAAAATCAGCTTTCTTTAGATCCAACATGGTGAAATTGACTCTGCTGAGATCCCCGGTAAAACTGTTGTTTCTGAGGGTAATGTATCTGAGATTTGAGCAGTTACCCAGGGCCGATGGCAGCTCGCCATACATATGGTTGTTGTCCAAATAGAGTTGCTCCAATCTTGTTAGCTGGCCAACAGAATCTGGAATCTTGCCACTGAGACCAGTCGATCCAAGATTAAGAACAGTCAGACTGCTTAGTTTTGCTATGTGGGAGCCATCAAGAACTCCTTGCAAGAAATTGTTGGGTAAGGAGAGCTGCTCCAGTGAGGTAGCATTGAAGAGTCCGTCAGGGAGAGCTCCAGTAAGGTTGTTGTGGCCAACTTTGAGCACTCTCAGCATAGAGCAACTGCCAAGCCCCAGAGAAATATTGCCGCTGAATTGGTTATATGATAGGTCAAGCATGGCAAATGATGGGGCATTGATGCAGATAGAAGATGGTATTTGTCCTGTAAAGCTGTTATTGCTTGCATTAAGAGCAACCAGATTCTTCGTCACCTCCCATGTTGTCAATGGGAACTGTCCTGTGAAGGAATTGCTTGAGATATTCAGTACCTGGAGAGGAAGGCTGGGGTTTGAGGATTGCATCTCTTGTAGATGACCTTTGAGGCAGTTGAAGCTGACGTCGAGGCCAATGATGCTTCTGGAGAAAACTAATCCTATTGGTAGACTGCCTTCGAGCGAATTATGGGACAGGTTTAGGTGCAACAAGCCTGTAAGATTGACGAGGGATGGCGAGATGCCCCCTTTAAGACCTCTGGCGGCCAGCAAGACATCTGTGACTGTCCCATCGCTGCTGCAGATGATGCATTCCCATTTGCAGCAGTCTGTGCCATTCACCCATGAATCGTTGAGACCACCGTTGCCATCTGGAGTGAGCCCATCTAGGAAGTTGATGAGAGAGCTACTCTCCTGCTCCGTGCAGGAGCTGGTAGGAGAGGCAAAGAAGAGCAGGAGGACAGCAGCAAATCCAAGGAAAGTCATGGATAAACTTTTGCTGTTTCTGGGCAAGGAACGGAGCTCTTGCATGGTGTTCTCATGAATCTCGCCTGAAACCATCTGGCTAGTTGTACTGCTCTGAACACTACTAAAAGCCGCCTGAGATTTTTAGTACTGAAGCCATGAGAAAAACAGGAAGAGGATGGTGGTGCGGTGCTCAATGGCTCGTCGCCTTATGTAAACTGGATGAACATGTGCAAATAGGTAGGTAAGATTTCCTCTTATTTTGAGGAAAGCTATACTTTTGGAAGCTGAAGACTGAAGAGGAGCAGTGACTTAGTCCAAAGGTGTGCAAATGGACGCAAGCAACTAATTTGAAATTTCTGCAAGTAGTTGAAACTGGGTGTGTACTGCAAATTATAAAATTATAAGTCAACTCTTGAGAGAAGGATACCTACAAGAATACGAGGGTTGCTGGGTAAGTATGGTTGGTCATGTTGTACTTATTTTATCCTACTACCAATATGTACTTTAAGTACAAGTCTCTCTGCTATTACAGCAGTCACTGTCAGAAAATAAACAATTTTGGCCATTTTGATTGGAACCACATGTGGAGAGAGCCCTGGTAATACAGACACACTGAAGGAAAGTACTAGCAGTTAACAATTCATCATACAGGTAATGTAAAAGATGTAAAAACTTTATAAGGAGATACCCGCACATATTGTATTAATGGTACTTGTATGTAACTTACTGCCCTTTCAGCCTAGGTGCTCCTTGTCAGCAGGCGAGCAAGGAGTCGAATACTTGTCAGTGATGCCCTTGCTAGGGTACTGCCGACCAGGGTTTGGGCTATCAAAAGAAGGACTAACCATCCTTTGCCATACTGAGTGCCTGCTGTCTGTTGACTGCTTGAGCATGGTGAAATGATATTATGGTCCAAAACTCCAAGTGGAGCTCCTCCAGTCTCCCGAGCTGGCCTACAAAACCGGCGATCTTGCCGCAAGCTGAAATTCTCCTATAAAGTTGCTGTGCCAGGCTCTGACCGTGACCGGATTGTTCATCACCTCCCACGTTGTACAGGGAAGGTACTCCATTAGTATTCTGAATGTCTTGCTGGAAGTTTTGAAGTATTGATAATGGCATGGATAAAAACCATGGGTAAGCCCTTTCTCTTTTGTTTCAATTATTGATTCTTCTCCTCTGTGCCACTTTGAAGTATTGATTATTCTCCTCCTTGGTCATGTCATTTCCCAGCATGTCAAAATGGGCACTCCTGATTTCTCTGCACGAGGAAGGGAGCCGAGAAGCTGTGGATGATGCTTGAAGGTGCAGAGGAAGAGGAAGAACTGCAACACCTGTGAATGTTGCCAACATTTCCCATTGTAATTGATTGAAGTTGTATATATGAATTCAAGTTATGTATCAGGCATTGTAATTCCCTTGTAATCCTGTGGATTTATGTCAATGAATACGTGAATTCAGATATTCAAGTATGTATATATTCAATACTGGCACCATTTGTGTGGAACGAAATTTGCAGAAGTTGCCAAATTTGGCAAGTACACATGAGTTGCGGCAATTGTACTACTGAATATGTTAGCTCAGTGGATCCATGTCAATGAATATGTTAATTAAATGAAGTAAACACCATTGCCGTCAAGTATCTGCAGTGTCACATGAAACTGGTCTGGCATATGCACCAATTGTACTGAACCAAATTTGCAGCAGTTGCAAAATTCAGACAGCAAGTACACATGAGCTGTTGGTAACAATGATGCATGTATCAGGATCCGGGAAACATGCTTTTTGGCACCTTCTTGATGCGACAAAATAAATTCTGCATTGTTGAGGTGTAAACAAATAACTGTTCCTCTCCTGAAATACAGCCACTTGGAATATACTAGTCACAAAAGAAATGTTCTTGGTCGAATCGTGTGCTTGTCACGATTCATGGTAATGTTAATAGGAGGATGCTTTAAGAAGCCACAGAAGCATACAAGAATAAATAGATACGAAAAGATTACTCAAATGCTCTGCAAAATTCAGACCAACAATTTTCTCATTCATATCCAAAATTGATTACAGTATGACTTGATAGTCGGTACATCAAGGACTTGCTTAGCTCAAAGCTTCACTCACACATACACACAAGAGTTCACCAATCAATGCTACTCGTCAGAAACTGCAACTTTAACTCACCACGACGCCAATGCCTAAGAATCCAAGTCAGCCAAGATTAATTTTACAGGAGGGTCAGCATAGTCTCCAGACGCTAGGCAGCTCACATGATTACTGTGTGTATCGACAAGTTCAATTCTACTCCTTTTTTCCTGCTACAAGCCGGGTAGCAAACGGGCGTTTTGGATTTTGCGGCGAGTGCGTTTTACGCTCTGTCTCGTGCCGGAATTGCAGTACACGAGCTTCCTTTTTAGGCTCATCTGCTTTACTTTGATTTATTGAAAATGCCCTTTATTTACCTAAACCCTTACTTAGGACCAGGTGTGGATGTAGTGTAACTATGCCGTACACATCTTAACAAAGGTTTTTGCTGCCTAGCTAGATGGAGACTCTCCTGACACTCTTGTAAAATTACTAATGACTGAAAGGGATTGAAAGAACACTAGAAATCTTGGTGATTAAGTGCAGAACCTAGAGATGCAAAGATTAAATGAAACTCATGTGTGAATGGTTTAGGAAGGACTAGCTTAACTCAAAGGCTCACCCACACGGACTCAAGAAAGGAATTGCTTCCTCTGCTTCCTCTGCTTTGCTTCCTCTGATGCAAGACTACCACCAGCAAGCCTGCACTGCTGATGATTTCTTCCTCTGCTTCGATCACCCGAGCGCTCAACCGTGGATTTGCATCGCTTGAGCAAAGTCCCGTCGACGAGCCATCTCGGGAGGTGAGCTTGATAACGCCATGCGTGCTGTCTTGCTTTGAGCAGCTCCTCAGGGGACTTGGTCACGTCGGAGTAATGGATCCAGGGGTCGTTGAACTGCACCGTGTCCGCCATCCGCTCCACCTTTCGCCGGGCCTCCGCTCTGCTGCGCTCGATGTGCCGCCGACGGCTGGCCTCTTCTTCGGCTGCAGGGTGCGCCCAATCCATGACGAGGCGAGCGTTCTCGATCAGTTGGCGAATGCTGATCGGCGGCTTCGATTGCGTCGAGCTGTCCGGAGATTCGGCGACCTGGTTCTTGATTGCGGAGGAGTGGAGCGGATCCTTGCCGCTGCTGGGAGACGGAAGCTTGCTGCCGTTCTTGATGTTGGCGGGGACGGCGACATGGAGCTGGCCCCCGGAGCAGGCACCGCGTACGCGCTTCGCCGGCGGCAGTTGCTCGCCGCGCACGGATCCGGGGCGCTTTGGCTTCATGGCAGCCGCGGGGTTCGCCATCAAGGCGGGGTTCACACGCACGCGGGAGGAGCAGGAGTGCAGGTCGGCGGAGGCGGCGGCGCTACGACGCGGGAGCAGAGACGGCGGGAGCACCGTGGTGCCGCCCATGGTCGCGGCCGTGCAATTCGCTAGAGCAACGATCCGGCGTTGGGAGGGGGAGGAAGATGGATCGAGGGAGGGTGGTCGGAGGGCGGGGTCAGATGGATCGGGGATTCGAGAAACGCGGCGAGCAAGAAAATAAAGGACGCGGGAGACAGGGAAGTGGCGGGAAGCAATTTGAATCCGAGTCGGCGCAGGCATAGCTAAAACGCGCAGTTTCGTTTCTGAATCCGAGTCCAAGACCAAGTTGTCTAACGCGCACGTTCGTTTTCGACAGGTGTCGCCGCTGACGTCTCTCTGCTTCAGGAGCAAGAAAATAAAGGACGCGGGAGAAAGAGAAGTGGCGGCAAGCAATTTGATTCCGAGTCAGCCTAGGCAGACTTTCGTTTCTGAATCCGAGTCTGAGACCAAGTTGTCTAACATGAGAGCTAAAACGCGTCTCTCTGCTTCACTCAGTTCAGACCAAGTTCAGAACTGGCTACAGTAGTAGTAGCAGAAAAACATGAAACATTATACGTTTGGATTACAATGTAGCTGATGGAAAATCAGTATGGTAGCTGGAACCACACACACATACTCCCTCCGTTCAGAATTACTTGTCGCAAAAATGGATGTATCTAGATGTATTTTAGTTCTAGATACATCCATATCTGACACAAGTAAGTCCGAACGGAGGGAGTATTTATTTCCACTCCACAAAACTGGTCTTGATATCTCAAATATGCACGCTGCCTGAGCCGTAAAAAGCCCATAATCCTTACTCACAATGTGCCTTTGCTACTATACCTGACTGTCTTTCTTTACACTTTGGAGCTCACTAGAGTACAGTTTCATGTCTAAAGATAGTTTTTTTTTCCAACTGATTCGTGTACCCACCCTCTGCCATTTTACAGAAGCACGCAGAAATTGTGTCCTTACTAAGTGACTATGAAAGAGCTAGGAAGAGAGTCAAACTGAACTTGGTGGCAAGTGTATAATGTCAAGGAGTACTCACTGTCAAAAGGTTACATGTCGCATATGGAATACAAACCAGCTTTTAAAGGTCATGGGAAGGCAATGCACAGCGACAGGAGTGCCCTTTTGGCATGACAAAATGCCAAGAAACATTAATAGGTACAATCCTCTATTAAGATTGCATTGTTACTCAAGTACCACATAGCTTTCAGACTCCAACAAGGCACTAATTGATGCCTGAACAAACAATTGTGATTAGCTGCTTTCTTTGAACCAGAAATCGATGCCAGAAAACCTAAGTCAGCGCCGAGCTGCCCAAAATCTGTTGATTGCTCCCTATCCCAGCCAACACAATGTACTGTGGTTGCAAGCTGATGGTAGAATAGTGCTTGAAAGTTCAAACTATGTTACTTTTCTCTGTTTTGTTCAAAG